CCCCCCCCCCCCCCCCCCCCCCCCCCCCCAGCATGGCCACACTCACCAATGCCCTCGGGAATCACCTCCAGCAGGTTCTGTGACAGAAGCAGGTCCGTCAGCACCACCAAGCCGCCAATCTCATCGGGCAGCTGCTCCAGCTTGTTCTCGGAGACGTCCAGGCAGACCAGCCGACGGAGGTTGCCCAGCTCCTGCACAGAGGGAAGCCAGGCAGGCTACAGCCCAGCCTCTTGCCCAAGGCTCTGGCTTCTCCCGACTGGGAAGCTTCGGGCAGCCGCAATGCCCGCAGGACAGAAGCAACACTTCCGCTCTTGCACCCTGGGCTGCCTGCCCCCCTGCCCGAGGCCACGCCCAGTTGAATCAAACACGGGGGCGGGGGCACCAATTCTGCCCATATGCCAATTTCAGCCCTATGTTGGGAAAAAGCCTCTGCACCACCATTATGCGCCCCACTTCGGCATCCTGGTTGCCTTCCCCGTCCACTGGACTCCACGGGACGCCCTCTGGAAGCAGCATCAGCCCCCCCCCCTTTAGGCCTTCCTGAAATCCAGAGCCACGTCCCCCCCCCCCCAGCTCATCCTCGTCCTTCGGGGGGGAAAGGAGAAGCAGCACGGGGCACTCAGCCTGCTTTCCTGTCCCTGGTGAGGGGCTTCCTGCTCTAGCCACGCCTTTATTTCAAGGAAGCACCTCGACCCACGTTCACTGGTCTGGGTCCCCCGTCTGGCTTTCCCTCAGCCCCGAGTCCCCGTCCCCCCCACTGGCTTCCCTTTGGGTGGGGTGTTTGGTCAGCCTGCGAGGGGCCACCGGAGGCCGCTGCACTGGAAGGACAAGGCACGGGAGGGGGGAAATACTCACAGGGGGCAGGCAGGAGAGCTGGTTCCTGTCCAGCCAGAGCTCACGCAGGTTTGGCAGGGCGCCCAGGGTATCTGGCTGGGAAGGAGAGGAGCACGACATCACTCTCCGAGGCAAACACCCTCCCGGGGGGGGACACACACACACGCGCACACACCCCCAGCACCTTCAGGCCCAGCCCTCAAGGGGTCTGCTGAGAGAGGAGGCTGCAGGAGGGTCATTTCCACTCAGGACCCGGGGCAAGGAGCAGCACCACTGGCCCGGGTGGGAACGGGCTGCAGGGCGAGACACTGGCCAGGAAAGGGAAGGCAGGCGGGCGCCCCACCTCCCCCACCCGCCCAGCCCCCCCTTACCAACACTTCAAGGTCGTTGCCCCCAAGGTCCAGCTGCTCCAATTTCACAAGGAAGGAGAGTGATCTGCAAGCAGAGGAAAGAAGTCAGGGGCCCTGGGGGCACAGGGGCCGTGCCCCCACCTCAGCTGGGGCAGGAGCGGACGGGCACTCACGCCGGGAGGCACTTCAGCAGATTCTCACGAAGCTCCAAAGTCACCAGGTTTGCCAAGCTGAGGGAGGAAGGAGAGCCGGGGTTGAGCAGAGGAGTGGCCGAGAACCCTGCCTCCCTGCCACCCGCCACCCATCGGGCACGGACTCACTTGCCAACGTCACTGGGCAGGCTCTGCAAGGAGACGTCGTTCAAGGCCAGGTGGCCCAGGTTGCGCAGCTGGGTGAAGCCTTCGGGGAGCCTGGGGGAGAAGCAGGGGGGCCCCAGAGGGTTCTGCAGCCGTGCGAGGAGCTGGGCAGATGGAGCCCCTCAGGGCAACTGGTCTTGGGGGCTCTCAGGACCCCCGGAGAGAGCGAGCGGCCACGTTCAGCACTGGCCCTTTGGGCCTCTACCCCCCCCTCTGTCCCTCCGACAGAGCATTCGCACAGCAGCCCCAAACCTCCCCACAGCCGTCTCCACCCCAGCCAGGTCCCCTCCAGTCAGAGAGGCCCTTCCAGAAGGCCGACGCTTCTCCCCTACCTGGACAAGGGGTTTCCGCTGAAGTCGGCAATCTCCAGGGACTTGCAGAACTTGATGCTCTCGGGAATCTCCGGGATGTCTGGAGCAGAGCAGCCCAAAGGCCGGCAGGAGTCAGGGAGGGAGACCAGCCCCAAGCCAAGCAAGCCCCCCCCCCCCCCCCTGCATGAAGACAGGAAGAGCGACCCCCCCCCTGGACAGCCAGGCTCCAGCCTCAGCAGCTCCACGTGGCTCCCCTGATGCAGACGGGGACAGACTGGGAAGGCAGCAGCCTCCCCTCACCCACCATTGCGGGAGATGTCCAGCTCCACCAGCTGCATGAAATTGGCCACTTCGGGAGGGAGGCGCTGGATCTCATTGTCACTCAGGCCCAGCCTGCGCAGGTTCAGAAGTCGGAAGAAAGGCTGCGGGCAGAGGGGAAGGGGCTGCTTACTGGGGCCTCCCGCCAGCCAGCCTCCCCCTCCAAGCACCCTCCCTCCCCTCGGGGCGGCCTGCTCTTCCTGCCGGAGCGAGCAAAGGGCCCGCGGTAGCTGCACCCACCGCAAAGGCAGCTCTGCGGCAGAGGCGTCTTTGGGGGCCCCGTTTGCACCCAATGCTGAAGGCCGGAGGAAGCCTCAACAGGAACCCCACCGCCCTGAAGGCTCCCCAGAGCAGAAGACGCCCTTTAGACCTTCTTCCCAGGCAACCTCACGGCTGAGACGCCCAGAGCCTCTTGGGGCCTCTGGCGCCACTGTCCGTTGGTCCTCCTGGCGACTGTAAATGCTGAAAGTCTGTCTCTGCCAGCAAAACTTTCACAGAGCCAAGTCCGCTACTCCTGGCTGATGGATTTGCAACCTTCCCTGCTAAACACAACTGGCTTGTCTTTTTTAGTTCCATGCTGGTTGTTGCATTATACAATCTATCCAGCATTCACCGTCAATCATTTCTCCACCTTATCCAAGTACCAGCCCAGCTTCTACAGCAGAAACATTTCTGACGTCTTTACCTGCACATACACTGGCCAACCAAGGGAAGCAACGCCCTTCTGTGCTCAACCTCCGTGCTCAACGCTGGGCTACAAGTGCTCCTTGTTTAGCAACCAACTGCCCACAGCTCCAAGGATAATGAAAAAGTTGCCTCCCAGCCAATACCCACAGCATTTGTGACTCTCCCTCCCTCCCCCCCCCCATTACAGCCAGTCTTGTCCTGCCTTGTCCTGACCATCCTCCCCCCTCCCGCACGGAGGTTGCTCCTTTCCTCCCCTTGGCCCTCAAAAGCGACAGCTCAGCTGTAGGGACCTTAATTGGCCTCCCTCAGGGGACTCAAAGGTGTTTTGGTTTTTTTGGTAAAAAAAATTATTTTTCCATTTTCACAACATTTAATCACATGTATACTATTACACAGCAAAAACATCACTTTGTATTATTAAGTGTTTACATCAATTCACCTTGTCCTCAGCTCCCAAAACACATTTAGCTCTTCTGCTTTGCATACACCATATTTATCTTTATCCATCACTTTCTTCTCCCTCCTCCCCCTCCCTCCCTTCTTTCTACTTCTCCTTTCCACCCTTTCCACTCCTTCTTTCTCTCCTCCTCTTCCCCCCTCCTTGCCCTCTCTACTCTTCCTTTCTTCTTCCCTTGCCTCTCTTCGTTTCTTCTCACTCTTATCATTTACTTGGTGTATTTCAGGCTCTTCTGAGCAAGCTCCGTTTTACGTTGATGGTATTTATAGTTCCTTTTCGATATACATATTTCATTTTAACATCCTTCCTTGGAAAAATAATAGAACAAAAATGTACACATCTATAGTCATTGTACTTTTAAACCCCTCCCCCCCCCCGCTTAAATTTGGTCGCGATGTAGACCTGGTTACAATTCCTAGCTATTCTCATCATGATCTTTGTATAATTATACACCCTTACGCGACCCAAACTTGTGCTTCTATCTTAAAATCATAATAGTTTCCCATTGTAGATGTATTCCAGGTTCCCTCTCTATTTTTCTATAACTTGGATCAAATTATCCTTAAATTGTCTATAAATGACACAGCACACTGTTCAATGTTTATTACAATTCCCTTAATCTATTATGTTAAAAAAAAACAAGCAGTAAACATCTCACTTTATTCATCACCTTAAAATTTCTATATATATACATCCATGTCTCATATATTTTAACCAATGTTTGATTATCCTACTGTTGTCATTTTCAGTCAATTCACAACTCAGTTTAATTATCACGTGTAAAAGTGAAAGAAAACCTCTGCTTTACAACCTCCCCATCTGAGTTTCATATTTATCCGTATTCAACGTATTTTGGGCTTTTTTAGTTATCTTTCCATTATTACGTTCAACCAGTTAGCAACTCCATTTTATTTTCATAAAAATATTTATCTTCCTTTGTATTTTCACACATCGAGATATCTGATTTTTCCCCCCCTTTTGTCCCATTTCTCTGTTCCTGTCTTCCCCCTTTTCTTTAACATCTCCACTCCCAACCGTGGTTTTCCCCCAAACCACCCTCTCATCACCCTCAAGCATTTTGCATTCCTCTTTCTTGGGGCAGAGCCTCCTACTTCAGTATTCTTTACACCACTAACAACCTCCAAGAGGACTTTTGCCTGCTTTCTATTCCCTTTTGCTGGGACACCTCCTCTTTTTAGCTGTTTTCCCTACACCAATGCCAAGACTGATGGGGTTTCTTGTCCGCTTTTTATTTCCCTCCCTTCACTGTCTTCTTCTTCTTTGAATTCTTCTTTAGATCTCTGCTTCTTCACTGGGTTCAGGATTCCATTTAAGCTTAATTTTATCGATCCAGGCATATTTTTTACAATGTCACCCATTTCTTCTAATTCCCTTGCAGGAGGCCTGCATTATTCGCTGTCCAAGGCCGCGTGCTTGGACACAGCTGCTTCAGGAGAGAAGCTGACGATTCAGAAGAGGATCTTGGCCGACTGGAGCAGGGAGCCCCCGTCCGACAAGATACAGCTCAGTGGGGAGAGAAGCAAGATCTTGCGCTAGGCAGGAAAAACCGGTCCCTGAGAAAGATCTGGTTCTCCTGGTGGACCACCTGGCTTAACGGCAGGGTGGCGGCAGCTGCCAATGCATCAGGATCGCAAGGCGTGAGGGTACCGCTCTATAGCGCACTAGTGAGGCCACACTTGGCGTACGGCATTCAGTTCTGACCCCCGTGGTGCAGA